TTAATTACATTTTTAATCCTTTCTAGTACTTTCGAAATTTTCGTTAAAAATCTTGTTTTTCTTGCATCAGCGGTGGGGACCAAAAATTAGTTGTTGATTAGTATAGGAAATTTTAGTGTCAGTTTTGCGGTAAAAAACGCATTGATTTGGAAATTCTTGCAAAAATCAAATAATTGTCGGATTTTAATGAACCTTTCAGCATTTCTTTACAAATGAATTAAATTATTTTACAATTTTTGCTAGAATCTCTTGGTAAAAATATTTTTGTTACCTTGAAAAAATGTAGTTATTTCAAGGTAAAAAAAAAAGAGAAAAAAAATCAGCCACTTTGGAAGATTGGTCACAATCACTAAATCTCTTCATTTTCACCTTGGGACAGAATATCATCTTACACTTAATAAATAAAAACTGTAAGAAAGGAAAGTTAAACAAAGTTTCATATAAAATGTGGATAAAGGGAAAAGGATAGAAAAACAAAGAAAACAACAAAGAAAGAAAGAAAGAAAGAAAGAAAGAAAGAAGCAAAGCAGAAAAGTCGCATTAGATGAACAAAAATTCAGCCATTATTGAAAAAAACAGGTCACATGATATATAATTGTATTGTATTGTATATATATAATTGTATTTATTGGCCAATGGAAATCTTGTATACTCTTTAATTCCCGGAGATTCTTTCACGCCCACCAAAAAAAAAAAAAAAAAAAAAAGACAAAAAAACAATAAAAAACCAAAAGCTAAGCAGAAAATTCTCTTTTTGCTATATAGGAATAAAGTATCGCTGGTAACACTGGGGTTTGAACACAGATCACCAGAGAGCAAACACAGGCGATCCCATTTTGAAATAAGTAGATCACGTGACCATAAAGAAACGCAAAAATAGGACGTAGCGTGGCGTCTAAATGATTCCTTTTTTTTTTTTTTTTTTAACTCTAGCCTCCATTATTTATGGATCGCTATTCTCTATACAATTCATTATACTATTTCTTTATACTAATCACTATTCGGCGGTTACTTTTCGAGCGAGTATTATCGAGCAAGTACTATTAGTGCGAGTGTTATTCGATGGCGTCTGACACCAGTATTGTTCAACGGCGTTACTATAGTTGTATCTGAGCTTACAAAGTCTCTACTAAAGTGAGCATCATGAAAGTGACAACGAGTATTCGTTGACATCATAAAGGTTGCAACGAGTGTTCGTTGAGTCACAAAACTTTTTCTCTCAACAAATGTCATGACGAGACCATAGTGTAAATATCCAGGAGCCCAAACCAAGTCAAATTCAGCAACCAGTAATTCATTCCTCCCAATACTACTTATACAAAGACAAAAGGGTTTTCACATTCGAATCTACATTACGAACTCCCCCAAAACGTAAATCCTTTTTTTAAGAGATCGAACAGTTTTATTTTAAGTAACTTTGTATCTATATACAAGTACTGTGGATGTATCTGTTTGTTATCTTCTGTCATTTTTAAAATAACGCACCATTTTGGTATTTTTCTCTATTTCAAATCGTGTTGTTGATTGTCAACGAACAATAAATTAATAACAAACAGTAGCAGAATAAATAAAGTTATGATTTTACCATTCTTGTCTTTTTTTAATCGTCTCAGAGAACCAGTTCTGCCTTCCATCAGCATGACTGATGCTAATCTCCAGAAGAGTGACTCATTGCACCTTCGCAGGATAACCTTTTGCACTGACACGAAGAGGAAATATTATATTGAGTCAATTGCTAGGTAGCCTTTGGGCGTCCTGGGTAAGATGATAAACTACGTCAGACAGTAAGGTCTCTGATCAGGAGGTTTTGAAGATTGTAGAACCACCTCTTAATTGATGGTGTTCCCAGGTCCACCCTGACCCGGGGTGGTAGCACCTGTTAGGGTCCTAGCTATGGGTAAATAGTTAACCCCCAAACTGGAGTCAAGACATGAAAGTCTAAAAACAGGTTTTAGAACCAGAAATACTTTGTAAACAATTATTACCAGCAATACATTAAGAAAATATTTCCAGCAATATATTTTTGAAAAAAAATTACCAGCTATAGATTTTTGAAAAAAATATTACCAGATATACATTAAATAAAATATTACCAGCAATATATTTTTGAAAAAAATATTACCAGCTATACCTTAAAAAACTACCAGCAATACATTAAAAAAAAACAAAAAAAAAAAAAAAAACAACAACAAATTACCAGCAATAAAAATCTTGTCAGCATTAAAAAACCCATTGAGGTTGATATGACGTAAACTAAACTAAACCAAACCAAACCAGTAGGCTGTGATTTACTGTGTCGTTTTAGACAATATTTCTCGCCATGATTATCTTACACATTTAAAAGTCAACCGTTCGTCCATGTATTGAATATTGCTGTCACGACTGATCTGTTGCTTCTGTTATGTATTTAGAGATTCTTGATAAAATACAAAGAATATGTAATGATATTGGTCCTGGTCCGGTCTCTTGGTTCCGGTCACTTTTCCACTTTTCCTTGTGCCTTTTCTACAAATGGTTTTCATAGTAATTGTTGTGAGGAGCTTTCCACTTTGGTACCTAGATTTTACGAATTTAAGCGCAGAACTTGATTGGGGATAATGTTTCGCCATTTTATAGTTGAAAAGGCGAGATTTAACCGTAAGTGCTATGCTAACAGTTTCTTCATTTTGTGACGTACGCTGGGCGTTAATAATGAAGTCACAATAGTCACTGCAGTCAGTAGCCTGACACCGCTATTTATACACCTGTCGGAAAACATATATTGATAAATCCAGAGTGTCACGATCAAACCTCAGTGTCGGTAATTACTCATTTTCTTTCTATATGACACGCCTCTAGCACTGCTCGCTAGTGGAACTCTCTTCCAGTCTCTTGTTTTCCAGTCAACTTTGATCTTCAAAAATTTAAATGCAATGTCAATAGATATCTTCTGTCTTAATTCCTATTCTTTTATTTTTCTTTCTCCTTAACAATGTTTTCTCATCTCATATTCTTTCACATTCAGTAACTCCTTGCGTCTTAGTGACTTTAATGCCTTTCTTGGGATGAAATGATTTAAAATAAGTTGTTTATAGTCGCTACTGAAGCCCTTATAAAAACAGAATTTCGTTCATGCGACACAGACATAGCTGAATTATACTTCTCTTTCCTGCGATAGTTTATAGAAGCAGGTGATTTAAAAAAAAACGGATATGCAGTAACGTAACAGTTATTATCACGGAAAGAGGTATTGGCGAACTGCGTTCAAATCTCAGCCTAGACTGTTGTTTTCACTTTCAATCTAATGACGTTGGGAAAAACATGGATCAATCGCTTCTCTCCCCCAACTAAGGTAATAATTAAAAATAATGTAGATCAAGTTCTACAGCCTTGAGTGGCTACCATATTAGGAGAAGGAAAAAATTGAAATCAAAATTGTGGAAAAGGCAACGGGAAACAACTTTGAGTTCTTTCGGATAAGGGACATGGAAGTAAGAAAAACATCTCTAAACTTCATTTTTAAATTTCAGGCTATAAGAAAGATGAGATAGCGTAAGGAAGATCAGGTAGCGCAAGGAAGATCAGGTAGCGCAAGGAAGATAAGAGAGACAGCTTTTATATCAAGACTCACTTCTTATTGCTCGTTTGATGGACAAAATTAGCACAAAAGAAGACGAACTGAAATTTAAAAATGTTTGTCGAAATATTAACATCGCCTGGTTTCAACAGATGTCAAGTGAATGTGCTGTTATTGAGCAGGAAAAAGATTTGATGGCGCTTGTTCCTAAAGATGGGAATCTTACTTGCTTAGCTTTTTAAAAGTTAAGAAAACTTTCAGGCTTATTTCCTTGTCTCAATAGCTGTCGAGATTTACACAGCTTAGCCCAGCTTCGTTTTGTCACAAAATGCGGGATATCCAGTGGGAGATGTCCAATGAGGATTGAATTCACTATGGTATATAATAATAGTCGATGAAATTATCTTGTTAACCATTTCTCTATGGTAAGGCGCCTATGTATAATCACCTCTTTTCCGATTCGGTTGTCTTCATATTTCCGAGACTGTCGCCATCTTGCGACGAGAGACGGCAAATTAAGACGAAAATTAACTTAACATTGTCTCTACGTATTTTTCTTTCTTTTTAAACTGCCTTCGTCGTCAAACTCTTATTCTTCCATTTTTAAATTGTTTCTTCTTTCCTTTTCTTTTGACACAACTTTTCTCTCATATTTATATTTTGTCTTTCTCTCTTATATTATCATATTATATGACGACTCTGCTATTATTTCCTTCTTTTTAATTTTATTACTCTCTTATTCTCACTTTCTAGACATTTCACGCTTCTTTCTTTCTTTCTTTCTTTCTTTCTTTGAATTCTATTCACTTTTTCTCGTTTCCTGATCATAGCTAGCTTTTTCTTTCATTTTTCTTTCTTTATATTTTATTCTCTTTTTTTTCTCGCTTCCTGTCTATTCTTTCTTTCTTTCTTTTTTTCTTTCTTTGTATTTTACTCTCTTTTTTTCGCTTCTGAATCATTACACGTTTCTTTCTTTGTATTTTACTCTCTTTTTCTTGTTTCCTGACCATTCCAAGCTTCTTTCTTTCTTTTTTTCTTTTTTTCTTTCTTTCTTTTCTCGCTTCCCGCCTATTCCTTGCTTCTGTTTGTTTGTTTGTTTCTTTCTTTCTTTCCTTATATTTTACTCTCTTTTTCCCGTTTCCTAACCATTCTTGGCTTCTTTCTTTCCTTTTCAATCAGTGCATTTTCTTTCCTCTTTTCATTAACTCTTTTTTTCTTTGCCGTTCGTCACTTTTTCATAATCCTTCCCAATTGCCCGGATGAAAAACCACCATAGGCACAAGCTGTGTTAATCTCTGAACGTTGACTGACATATTTATATTCCGCGATGTTGTGCGCCGCTGGCTGGCGTTGCCGGAACCATAAAGCAGCGTCCGGCTAAATCCATTACAAGACTATCCAGGCCGACAATGGCCGAATTAGTGGACACCGTAAGCTGTATTGGTCATCGCTGATTTTGACCGTGGTGATCTTTATGTGGCCGGTGTCCATTCAAGTATGATTTGTATTGGCTTGTGGTTTGCGAAAACCTATCAAACAAGAAAGGCGGTAAATCTGATGATAAAAAGAGGGAGAGAGTCAAAGAAAGTGTTGGAGGGGGAGCGAGAGAACGATGAAAGCGAAGTTGGTAAAAGTAAATAGAAAGATAGCAGTTTAGTATGGGAGTAGATGAGAGAGAGAGAGGAAGAGAGAAAAAGAAAGAAATATAAGTGCAGAGTTGGAATACAAAAGATGGCTTAGCCCAATAAAGATCTGGTCCAGCGCACCTGCCGTAAAGCAATTATTATCGCGCCTGTCATGGTTAATGTGTTCGATCCCTATTTAGTTCGACACAAAATGTATCATATAAATGTAAGCAAATGTGTGCCTTCATATTTACTTAGTTTAGCTTGGTATGACACAAGGCCAATTCGAAGAGGTGGTTTAGTAACAGCCTGTCGTGAAAATAAACAGTCGTCAAAATCATAACATTGTACTTAAGCTGGAACCGATGATAGTGGGATAAGCAACTATTTCGTCCATTTCATGTGATTTCTGCGGCAAAAGTAAAAAAAAAAGTTTCACTGGACGAAAGGAAAGGTTCATCCATCGTCCGGTTCATACTCCTCCCCGGTCTTTTGACGGGAGTTGAGGCTTTCTTGTTTCTTGGGTTTCCGGTTCCTTCTAAAGTCCCGGTTAATTTGTCGGGAAGTTTTATTTACTTCTCTTTCCTGCGATAGTTTATAGAAGCAGGTGATTTAAAAATTACCAGCAATACATCTTACCTTTCTGGTATTTCTTTCTGATTCTTGTCTTAGTGGCATTATCGTTTTGCTTGGGGGTGAATTGATTAAAAAACAAAAAACAGAATCAGAAAGAAAGATTATTAGATACCTTTTCTACGGCTTATCAACCCATTGCAGGTTTAAAGCCAGAAAATATTTTTAGTTAACCCATAGCTGAAGAGATGCGGTGGATATTTTTAAATCACACTAGATAACATTGTAACTCCAGCAGCCTTTCCTTCTGCTTACAAAGGAAGGCTTTTTTTAAATTTCAGGAATTTTAACATGGTAATCCGGATGTGCTTCATCATCCCTCATAGCCCGGTTCATACTCCTCTCCGGTCTTTTGAATAGGAATAGAGTCATATCCCATATTTCCTGTTTAGGATTGGGTTTCCGGTTGCTTCTAAAGTCTTTCTATTTCATTTCTTGTCTTAGTGGCATTATCGTTTTGATTGGGGGGGGGTGAATTGATTAAAAAAAAAAAAAACAAAATCATAAAGAAAGATTATTAGATAAGTTTTCTACGGCTTATCAACCCTTTGCAGGTTATTTAAAGCCAGAAAATATTTTAGTTTGTAAGAATTTTTTCCGAGATAATAATGATTTAGAGATACAAGTCTTACTAATTAACCCATAGCTGGAGGGAGATGCGGTGGATTCATACCTTTCCCAAGGATATTTGCGCATAAGTGAATATTTCGAACCCAGTTAGAAATTGAACTCGGCACTTCGATTAATAATTCCGAATTATTATTCATTACACTACCCGCACACCGAAACTTACGCACCTGGTATTCTCAAGCGGTCAGTCATTTAAGTACCGACCAGGATCAACGTTGCTTAACTTCTATGACCGTATAGGAACCGATCTTTCAACGTGATATGGCCCTAAGCAGAAAAAAAAACAGTTGAAATTTTTAGGACATATTATGAGTAAAAAGAAGGCTAAGAGATTTTGACACCCTCAGGACATATTGATGGTAGGAGGAACAGAGGTAAGCGGCGAGTAACCTACTTTATGAGTATATCAAAGTTCAGCTTGTTGGACTCTCTGCTTTTGGGCGGAGAAGCACTCAGACGGGGCTTTGCCTACAGGCAGAGTCTCGTCTGGGGTAAAGTAGACAGCAACCCAACCCCGTGTATGTGTGGTCTACGGGGAATTTTTGCCAGTCTGTATGCGCTCTGTAATTCCCAAGTTAAAAAAAAACAGTCTTTTGCCACATCCCATATTGTGGGGAACTCGGATAAATACTGAGTAACATATATAATGGGCTTGTGTAAATAGACGGCAGAACAAGGACGAGGGCAGATGATGAAAAGACAAAATATACTACAAAGGAGAGGAAGTTGTTAAGAGCCATGATCGCCTACGTCCTGAAGGGAAACGGCGCATAGAACCAGAAGAGTACATAAAGTATGCTCTCAAATTATGGTTGGTTGGGTGATTTTGTTTAGCGGCATATCAACCTCTATTGGTTATTTAATACCAGAATCTAAATATTTTAAATACAAGTTTATGGCTCAACTAAATATATTTTTACTATTTACATTATTCAGACTATTGTCCTCATCTTTGTTGCCATATTTATCACAACATTTCGGCCGTTGTACGCTCCGGCCTTCTTTAGGTGATTGGAATGTCGAACTGAACCCTTTATTTCGCTCGCTGGGGTAGACTGTTCTAGTTCCACGTGCCATGTCTAATGGATGTCAGTTATCAGTTATCTCCTGTTAATTCACCTCTCCAAGTTCACCAGTGCTTTAATCAGGTATTGAAGTCACATCTCTTTGGGTCCTGTCACTGGATCTAACCAACATCTTTATCCTTTGTGTCATGTGTTCTTAAGGACGTCTGTGTATGAATTTCCATACCTTTCCCAAGGGTATTAGCATGTAAGTGAATGTAATGGATTCGACTGGAATTTGAACACTGCTCTTCGATTTCTCAATCCGAGCCGCTATCCATTACGCGGTCACTGAAATGCGTAAATGAAAGTTACATAATCTGTGTTGGGTAAAAAATGTTATTAATTCTTTAAAAACGGATATTTTAAAAGTATTTACATTCAATGCCTCTAAAATCAAACTGTTTACATTCCATCGGCGCCGAACTATCGCCAGTCCCGATGAACAGATGTCCCTTCGAGGAGATCCCGTGCCTCGAGAGGATATTGGGCCTCAAACTCACACCCGACTTCAAGTGGATTTCCTGTATATGATCCATCGCTAAAGATGCAGGTAAAATAATCAGCTCCTTGTAATGCTCCAGTAAGTATGCTATCTTCTACCTTTCTAAGAGCCAGATCAAGCCGAAAATGAAATATGTTGCCATATTGCTTAGACCTCACTTTCTAGCCTTGATAGTGTTCAAATGCGTCTCCGAGTATTTCATACTCTAACCTCTCTCTCTCTCTCTCAAGGGCAGTATGTAGTGAACCGCTCACTATTCTATCGCTACTACCATGGTAAGTGCTCAGACGAACCGCAGTTTCTGGTCCCACCAGGTCTGGCCTACACGGCTAGGACCCGCCATATCATTTAAATAGTAGCAATCCACCCACATTCTCTCTGTATACCATCGGCGAGAAGTAAGTTCCACTCAAACAGCTTCTTCCCGCGAACCACTGCTGTATGAAGCAGACTTCTTAAACGATGTTTCCCCGATCTCTACAATCTTAACCTGTTCAAGTCTACTGTTATCTTCCCTTCGTATCCATATAAACTACCCCTGATAGTAACCCTCTATCCCGAGTATCCCTAATACTATATATATATATATATATATAATAAATTGAAATCATTATGTCTCCTTATTTTTATTATAATCCTTTCATGTTCACGAATATTTTTCCGTATATTACAATTAAATTAGGAAAGAAATGCACCGTAATAGTGAAAATCACTCATAAAAATAAGCAGACATAATTTGTAATTTATTCAATCTGACATGCCTAAAAAAGAATTTGCTGCTTAAATACACCCCATATATATATATATATATATATATATATATATATATATATATATATATATATATTAAATATCTGTTTAGGTGAAACCTAGGTAGGTTTGTCTGGCTCACTAGGTGTATCTCTCTCTATATATATATACTATAAACATTATTTTTAATAGGTACATTTTTATGAATTGCTATCACTGTTTTTTTTTATTTTGTTAAACTGAAATTAACCAACCTGAATTTATAAATCTTAAGAAAAATTCTGCCTTCTATATATATTTTTTTCTTTTTTAATCAGGGAAAACATTTTAGCCAAAGTCTACCCCCACCAGTACGGCTACGGAGTCAGCTTGACAGGGCAAGTTTCGAATTACTTATTTAAGGAAAGCACGTTTTCTCGTGGGGACTTTCTTCGAATTTATATCAGCTTCAGTTTCGGACCCGAAACGTAAAAACAGCAGTTTGTGATGCAAGTATGTTCTATTCGATATAATTTTTTTATTACGATAAACGTTATCTAATAAAGCTCATGGTAATAAAAATTAATGTCGGATGAAAAATCCTTTCAAAAATACAAAAATGTATATAATAAAAGGGAGGAAGAAAAAAAATAAAAAAATACTGTAAAATGATGAATCGAAAAAATATAGAAATAACAAAAAACGGATTAACCTATTATCACTTTTCGTTCTTCAGAGCCAATCGCTGACTAAAAAAAAAGGAAAAAACATACGACCGGAGAATTAGAAAAAAAGCATAAATCACACACAGATAACATTGTAACCCAGCAGCCTTTCCTTCTACTTACAAAGGGATGACTGTTTAGTCTTAATACAAATAGTCTCAGGAATTTTAACATGGTAATCCGAATGTGCTCTAATGATTATGGTTTAAAGGTTACCGGTGAAAAACGATGCACAACGGATTCTTCATTAAGTGTTCTGCAATCGCGGAATCGGAAGTATTCACAAGAGTATGCAAGTTTTCCATACTGCTCTCGACGGATATTAGGTGACCAATTCTGATCAATTCCACTACCCTTATCTAATTTTTTCATTTGAACCCTCTTCCTTCTTTAAATAATAACCTCTGTTTATAATTATTTTTATTTATTTATTTTTTAAGCATTCAATCCCAAGCAAGGCGGGAAGCCACTAGCACGCAAGGGGTTACAGAGATTTGGAGCGAGAGCAAAGACGAGTGATAGATGAAAGAATGAAGAGAAGGTTAGGGGATAGATCAGGGCATCTGGAGACGTCGATTGACATTACATTTGAATAGTTGGAGATTATAGCTATCAGGGAAACAGGGAAAGGGGAGGGAGTTCCACAGGCGAGAAGTGCGAGACATGAAGCTATTGGAGTAGACGAGATGGCTACATTTAACAGTTTCGACAGTGAAAGGGTGAGAACGAGATGCCAGCCTAGTCGAACGCTTAAATTCATGAAGTCTGGGAACCAGCGAAAGCAGCTCACTGGAGCAGTTACTGTGAAAATATTCGTAAAAAAGACAAAGGGAGGCGATGGCATGTATGTGAGAGAGTAACTGCAGACGAGATGTCAGTTCACACACACACACACACACACACACACACACACACACACACACACATATATATATATATATATATATATATATATAGCAATATTCTTTTTTAAGCGTTTCACCTCAAGCAAGGCGGGAAGCCACTAGCACGCAAGGGGTTACAGAGAGTTGGAGAGAGAGAGCAAATAGTTGTGATAGAGGAAAGGATGAAGAGGAGGATAGGGGATAGATCTAGTTGGGACGAGAACAGCCTACTCCCGTAGATTAAATAAAGTGTTCGAAATTCCTCGTAGATTATCTGAATTGATATACACCTGATGAAGGCCGCAGGGCACAATGGCCGAAACGTTGTGATAGCAACAAGTAAAACGAGGAGAATAGTTCGCACGTAAAGAATATTATCGAACTATTTTCGATATTTTTCAACATGTTAGTATGGACTCTCCTTGACATTTAATAACTTACAATAGTCTTTCGGTCATCGTTTTCTACTGTTCAAAATGAAAGTTGTCTTGAACTGCCACTGCTCTCGATCTTTTTGCATTAATGCGGCCTTCCCCCACAGTTCTATCATTGGACTTACGTTTTACCTAATTTTCATGAACGACCGTTCAGATGGTGTCGACTCTCAACTCGGTGACTATACCGATGACCCAACAATTTACTCCTGTCTTAATACTAAGTCTTATCTTATCGATAAGGTCAAATTGGCAGCTGGTCTCACGTGACCTAAAATCTATTCTTAACTGGGGCAAGGTATGGTTTGTTAATTTTAACGCCTTCAAAACGAAACTACTTTCTATTAATCACCTGAGAGACCATTTTCTGTCTTCCATCATCATGGCTGATGCTAACCTCCAGGGGAGTTGTGCGAGAAAACGCAGGTGGGGAGGAGAAACAAATTCTTGCGACACAAAAAACAAACGCCTTCTTGCAAACCTGAAACGAACGCCTTCTCTTCCGAACGAACACTTTACGACAGCAAACGAGCAAAACGGCACCCAAGACTGCTGCCGACTGATGACCGACCACAACGGCTTTTGTCGCCCAAGAAAAGACGCCAAACGACTCGCGCGTCTTCTTGTAGTCCTCGGTCGAGTCCATTATGGTACTCCAAGGTGTGCCCGGCGACAACACACACACGCAGTTCGAGGACGCTTCCGCGCATGCTCGTTACAAGAGTGACTCAATGTGCCTTCTCAAACCAACGTTTGACATGAAGTGAAAAGGATTATATTGAATCCATTGCTAGGTCTGCTCGTAGGAAATTTGGTTCACTTTGTCATGCTAGACAATTTTTCTGTCCAGAATCTCTCTTACATATTTATAAGTCTACCACACGTAAATGCTTCGGATACCGCAGTCACACCTAGTCTGCTGCTCCTGCTATGTATTTAGAGATACTTAATAAAAATCCAAATTCTGCAATGTTATTGGTCCTGACCGGGTATCCCGACTTCAGTCATTTTCCTACTGCCGCAATGTAGCAATGCAGCTGTCCTGTGTTTTTTTTCTATCAATTTTCTATAAATAATTTCATGGTAATTGTTCTGATGAACTTTCCTCTATGGTACCTAGATTTTATAAATTTAAGCACGGTAATAGATTAGCAGCAAGGTCTCATCATTTTACAGCGGGATTGCTTACATGTAACTGTAAATTCTATGCTAACAGTTTCTTTTCTTTCTTTTCCCGCCCGTGGAACTCTCTTCTGGCTTCTTGCTTTCCAGCCAATTTTGATCGTCAAAAATTTAAATCCGATGTGAATCACTACCTACTGCCTTCTTGATTCTTCTTAGTTCTCGCTCATTAATAATATTTTTCATACCCCATAGTCCCTCTGTGTTTTAGTGGCTTTATTGCCTTGCTTGCAGTGAAACAATTAAAAAAAAACATGGTTGGTTGTAGTTTTTATTTCTTTGTAGAGATCTTTGCTTGAATATCGCTTTCCATGCTCATATAAATATCTTTTGAGGATGGACCGATTTTCTGTTGGATTAATATCTGGAAAAGGCGAGGGAAATTCAATTAATCTGGTGCCTTTGAAAATTTTTTTTTTTTTTTTTTTTTTTGAGATTGAGGTGGGTAACAGTCAGTTTTGCAGAACGTGAAGGAGCATTGTCTTGCTGAATACACCCTTTAGCTTGAAATTCCTTGTTTGTAACTTGTTCCATACGCGCTCACGTGTACACACACACACACACTAATATATTTTCCAAGAATTTAATTTTTTGATTTTATATTCAGGCCATCATCAACTTTGAATGGGCTTATAATTCGGTTGCTTCCAATAATACTTGACACGACCTTACCAGCATTGTCCTCTGACTTGTGTTTATTTTTTACAATTTCCACGAAGAACAACTTCTGTCTTAGCTATCATGTCCGACCAATGTAACTTTAGATTCGTCACTAAAATATTCTTTTGAGGCTAAGTTATCTGTACTGCTTTGTTTGACTTACAGGTTTCTCTTTGTGGTACTTATATTTAAAGGTACTAAATTTAATTGCTTTCAATTCTTTGACCAATATTCTTAATAGTTGGCACTTTTTTTCTCTCTGTTTACAAAGGGTTGATAAACCGTAGAAAAAAGAATCACACAGTCAAATCTCTGTTTACATCTACATAACCAGCTTTTTTTTTCAAATATTTTTTTGTTCAATAAATATATATATATATATATATATATATATATATATATATATATATATATATATATATATATATATATTATTAATTATTTTTATTAACTTTTTTACATTGTTTCCAGATCTCTTTTTGTGACATGCTTAAAGTTGGTTTGTTCTTCTTGTTCTTATCGCGCCATTGATTTCGGCTTTTTTTTTTAATCGTTCTATGGTTTCTACTTGTTGCGTAGGAAACCTACCACCCCTCTTGAAGATGAACTTGTCTGCAAACAAAGACTTTAAATAGTGGCATGTCTAAAGCAGAGACAGAGACGTTCTTGGCTGAGCTAGTTATAGACTACTCAGGCGATTTCTGTACCTACTTACCAACCTAATAAACCCCATTTTTATTGTTACATGTTATTTGGCGTTTGTCTTTACTAACCCCAAATCAACATCATAACACTACTCAACCTATTCGCTGTTTCCAAAGTTGTGTTCCCGTTAACCATTAATTTTTCAATATCCTTCTCCACTTTTGAAACAATGTATGTTTTTAAAAAAACATGGAAGTATTTTCGTTAGATGGTGGACAGTTTGGGAACACTGGGTATAGTAAACCTTTTTCTTCATCTTTTTCTTCTTCTTCTTTGTGACATATCTCTTCAGGACGCGGACGATCATGGCTCACCACAACTTCTTATCCGTCGTTGCTTTTAGTAATGTTTGTCTTTTTACCATCCCTCCCGTTCCGCTATCCTGTGAGTGTCGATTTCTCCAAGCCCTCCTTCCACGTTATGTGTTCAAGAAATTTCATCTGTCTTTCTGATTCTGAGTATAGAAATATATAATGGAAATAGAGACATTACAAAAAGCATTCCTGCTAAGAACAGCGAGATATTTCGGTAAGTACTGAACACAGTCTGTAATTGAAAAGAAATGACCGGTTTATTTTCTTAACCTTTTAATGACCATTGTTCCACCAGTGGAACATACTTTCTGACATGTCTATTTTATATACCAGACAAGCATTCATTGTATTTTAACACGATGCGTGAACATAAATTGTGTTTTAGTCTTTTCTGTGCACATTATCGATAAAATAATGAAAATGAATGGAGAAAACACTGTCAGAAACCAGCAATCATAATAGAATATTTAACACTAAAAGATGTTAGGATCTGTGTGGGAAGTAAAATATGGTGAACTTCAGCGGGTGAGGATTGAAAAACCTAACATTTAGCCTGCAGCATAATAAGTAAATGCGTTAGGTTTTGATACTTGACGACGAAAATGTATTTTATTTAAACATCTTTTTCACTGCCACGCAATTTTTAAGACAAAGCAATATCTGTCGAAAAACAAGAAACATTCAAAATTTGTGTAAAAAATGAATATGGTTGTCATAACCTTTTTACTGTTGTACTTATCATATTATAATTCACCATGTTTCTCCCTTCGCATGTCTGTTATACTCTGTCATTAACACAGATAACTAACGGACCATTCCGTTTTGAGTGAAGACGGAAAGAAAAGGAAACATATCAGAAACTCTGTCTGCTTTTTGTGAGAAAAAGTAAGGGAGTTCTACAGGCGAGAGGTACGAGACATGAAGCTATTGGAGGAGAACAGACGGCTACATTTAACAGTTTCGAAAGTGAAAGTGTGAGAGCGAGATGCCAGCCTAGTTGAACGCTTAAATTCATGAAGTCTGGGAACCAGCGAAAGCAGCTCATCGGAGCAGTTATCTTGAAAATATTTGTAAAAAAAGATAGATGGGGGCAGCGACACGTCTGTGAGAGAGCGACTGCAGACAAGATGTCAGATCAGGGCCAATTACATTGCATTATGATTATTATTGCATTTTTTTTTTTAAATTTGTTTAGCTCAAATGTTTAACGAAGCTATGGAAGAATTTTATAACCAAGCAACTCGAAAGGAACGTATTCAATCATTAATTTACGAATTATAACCCATGAGAACTTTCAAAACAGGAAAATTGTGAAATTTCACGTGTTCCGCTAAAAAGCATCACTTTTACCCACTCTATAAATGATGGAGATTTGGGCACCTCGAAGCGGTGCAATGATTAGCACGCTTGTCTCGTTAGAACAATTACGACGGAGTAGTGAGTTCGATCCTCACTGGGTGTACCCTACTTTCGGCCTTGTGTCACATCTAAGCTAAACTTGGAAAATCACTATAAATTATGGATATTTTATTTGGGTTTGAAAAGTTGTTTACAATGCATAAAAAAAACCATAAAATAATGATTTACACAGGGAAAATTATTCAGGAAAAAAAAAACGATATATAAAATCTAAAAAAAATCGCTAATTATCACATCAATGCGTACCAGCCAATAATTGGAAGGGTAACTGGGAGAAATGACATATTTAGATTGGTGATAGCTGAGCATTTATTAACCAACCATCAATATACCCGGTCCAATAACCAAGACCTTATCTCAATGCTCAAGAAGGCTCACTCGAATTTTCACCTTAATGTTTTAGAGGCAGTTTCACAAGGGGAAAGAGATGAGGGTTGGAAGATTGTGTTACGCTTATCCATGAAAATAAGGAAGGCTACCTACTTAGAAGATCAGCACCCGAATTTCTATCTGCCGAACCTCGAACACCGATAGGAGGTACATATCCCAACCATAGAGCTGATCACTATATATGATTAGTTATTAAGATAATATTAACGTGACAAAGTCAGATTAGGACAACTAATCCAGTGAGCCTTGATCACACGAAACTAGCTACCGCATTTGACGGTATATAAGTCGCACTTTTTTTTTACTAAAAATATCTTTTAAAATTCCTCTACGTCTTATATGTCAGATGTGGGTTTACTAATTTTACTAATTACTAATTTTTTCTTGATTTTCCCTGCTGAAATTGAGGTGCGTCTAATATGGCGTCAAATACTTTGCGAAACGCGCTTTCAAATATCATGTTACAGTAGACACCCAAATCTTAGCAGTAAGTATCATATTTTATCTGAGATTTGTTCATTTTTTTTTTCGAGGGATTATGATTTCACAGTGTCTAGGAAGACACTCCCAATTGTAAATTCAGTTACCATTGCATACTAGCTTACAGATATATCACATTGAATCACCGGTTCTTGTACGATCACCGAAGTTAAGCGACGTCGAGCCTGATCAGTATCTCCATGTGTGACCACTCGAGAATGTAAGTGGGGGTAATATGGTGTCTAAGTAGTCCACCACTAGCAGTGGTTTACCTATTTCACGCCGCTGGCGAGTATTGTGTTTTGTTCATGTTATAAAGATTACCGTTTCCGTTTCCAACCTCCGTTTTCGTCATACCTCATTCAGTAACCCTTCCTAGGTTACAACAGATAGATAGATAGATAGATAGATAGATAGATAGATAGATAGATAGATATGAAATGAATCGACAGGAATAGATAGATAGATAGATAGATAGATAGATAGATAGATAGATAGATAGATCGTGTTATAGACCGTACCTATGAACACTAATGGGTATGTCTCAATCCTCATAAATACGTTGGACACTATTGTAAGTGAGGTTAATATGCCTAGTCCACTCTCTAGCAGTGGTTTACCTACTTCACGCCGTTGGCGAGTATTGTATTTTGTTGATGTTAGAAAGATTACCATTTCATTTCCAACCTCCGTTTTGGTTATTCCTCCTTCAGTAACCTTTCCTAGGTTACAATTCTTTCTTTCTTTCTTTCTTTCTTTCTTTCTTTCTTTCTTTCTTTCTTTCTAAGCTTGCTTTTTACCTTCTTGCTGCTAATTTCGACTTTAATTTCTTGTTCCTTTTAATATTTTTCTTTTATTCCAATGTGCATTCGTGTTTGCTTGCTTTCTTTCAATGCCTTTTCCTTTACGTCTACCATTGTTTGTTTCCTTCTTGTTTTTTATTTTTGCATTAATTGAGTTTTTCCTTCTTTCTTCCTTTTAACTTTCTTTTCTTCATTTTTTTTTTTACGCGGGAACTTGTTTACTTTTCTTCTTTCCTTCTCGTTTCTTTTAAAACGGGCTCTTTCTCATTTTTTTTTCTTTCTTGGTTGATTTTCTTTCATCAAACGGCATTCCTTTAAATCCTTTCTTAACCATTCTACACCCTTAGACTTTAGCTCACCATTTCTTTATTTAGGCCTTTTTTTTAATTCTGCTACTGGACAAAATTGTTTTCTTTCTTTCTTTCTTTCTTTCTTTCTTTCTTTCTTTCTTTCTTTCTTTCTTTCCAGTTTTCCTTTTATGATTCGATTGTTTCATGATTGGCAGCCTTCAAGAATTGAATTTGCCCAAGAAGCACACGAAACCCTAATTGCTGTTTCAGAAATCTTTCCCTTCACGCTTCAATTAGAAACGAACCTATCACCTTGTTCCCGGCATTTCCCTCTTGTTCACATATTTTCTCTTATTCGCAAACCTCATTGGCTCTTTCTTTTCATCCTGCCGCGTGACTTGGGAAAGTTAAATATAGAAAGAACCCAGCAATAATAACTATGGTGAGGTAGAGTTGCGGTATTGTGGGAGGTCGTAACTAGGAGAAAACTCCCGGAACGCGGTAAGAAAGGAACGTCAGAAGGAAAACATGATTGTCGTATCGGATTAGTTTAACTGATGAACAGTTAGGAATATGGTAAATGGTGTTGTGTACTGAAGATATTGAAGATTTAGACGATGGGAGATTGTAACAAGACGATGGGGGATTGTAACAAGATGATGAAGAAAATGAAGAAGGGCATTGAAAAAGAAAGGAGAAGAAAGGATTCAGAGAGAAGAAAAGAGATAATGAAAGAATAAAAAAAGGCGAGAGGAGGGGGAAAGGGAACATTAAAGATGTCATTAAAAGCAAGGAGGAATGATGTTAGATTAACAGTAAGGAAAAAGAGAGAAAGAAAAAGAAGCATAAGAGAATGAGAAATAAAAATAAAAAAAGAAGAAAAAGTAGAAAAGAAATAAAAAGAAGGAGGAAGAAATTAAAAGAAAGTTTTTTGTTAGGAAGAAGAGAGAAATGAAGAGTAAACAAAGATAAAAAAGAAGAAGGTCAAATAAATTTAAAGAAACTGAAGTAGAAAAGAATAAAAAGCTGATGAGAGGGAAAGAGAGATAAATAAGTAAAAGGGAAAAAAAAAGAAAAAAAAAACGAAGAAGGAAAGTAAAGAAATCAAAAGCAAGTGAGAGGGGGACTTGAGGAAGAAAACTAGAAATAATTAGTGAGAGTGAGAGTGGGAGGCTGTGTAGTTTTAAAATGTAAAGGAAGAAAGTAGTGAAAAAGGAGAGGGTAGGAACAACAATATAAAAGGAGAATAGAGGAAAAGAAGGTAAGAAGAAAAGGGAGAAGAACAGATAAATTATGCTAATGATGAGAGAGGGCATATAAGAAAAAAAAAAGAGAACAAAAAGGAAGAAAGAATAAATGAAGGAAAAAGGAAGAAAACAAAGAGGGGGAAGATAATAATAGAAAGAAAGGAAGAAAAAAAGGGAAATAAAATAAATGAAGGAAAAAGAACAAGGAATAATACAGGGACAAACAGGGGGAGAGATGAAAATGAAAGGAAAAGAGAAAAGAAGAAAAGAGAGACAAAAAGGGAAAAAGAAGGAAACAAACAGGGGAGAGATAAGGAAAGAAGGAAAGAAATAAAAGATGAAAAGAAAGACAAAAAGAAAAGAGAGAATAAAAGAGAGGGAGAAAGAGACAAGTAAAGTAAACAAATAGACAAAATGGAAAGTGAGAAAAAAAACAAAAAAAAAACAAAGGAATGAGAGAAAGGAAGAAAATTAGGTTAAAAATGGGAGAATAAAATAGAAAACCAATGAGCATTAATCAGAGAGAGAACGAGAGAGGGAAAAAAGACAGAAAGAAAGAAAAAAAGAAAGAAAGAAAGAGAGAGAGAGAGAGAGGGAAAATGAAAGAAACTAGGGAAAAAGAAAGAGAAGTGTGTAGTGAACATAGAAACAAAGAAAAGTGCACGATTGATGAGAGAGACAGTAATAGAACAAAAGGTAATAAAAAAGAAAATATAAAAATAAAAGAGAGAAAGATAGATTGGACAACGACAAAGAGAAGGAATAAATAGAGAATACAAGCAAATAGACACGAAAGTTTAAGGAGGAGAATGAATGAAGGAAGAGAACAAACAATTAGGAAATGGTTTAACTAAGGGGAGAAGAAGAGAATGAAAAAGATGTCTCCAAGACAGAACAGAATAAGTACAAGCTCGAAAGATGTGGTTCGGAAGGAAAAATAAGAAAATACGTGGAAAGAAAAAGAGGGCAAATGATAGAGAAGAGACAAAAAAAAAAGCAACTGAAAGAAATGTAACGATGTGAAAAGAAAAATAGAAACGAAGAGAAGAAAATAGTAAACAAAGAAAAAAAAAAAGGACAATTAAATTCAAGAAATGAAAATTATAGAAAGGGAAGTCGCGTGGAAATAAGGAAATAGAAAGAGAAAAGACAGGAAGTTACACAGAAGACCGAGAATGCCGGACAGCAGAGAACAAGGTAAATCTGAGGTGATGGATTGTGCGGCTCTTTAATGGAGACGGTGCTGATCTGTTCCGAGCCAGGAAATTCAATGAGGTTCGATCGATTGGACTGATCAACATCCTACGTGACGAGCCTGGCCACGACTGCAAATTCAAATAAAGGGACAATGGGGTAGGAGAAGAGAAAATCATAGGCAGCCATTCTTGCACCTCCAAGTCGCACTTCTATTACGAGCAGCTAAAGTAATTGACGCTCACAATGTCTTCTTTTATTTCTAGTTACTCATTTTATATTTCGTTCTTTTATTTCTTTTTATTTCTTTCTTTTCTTCTTTCTTTCTTTCTTTCTTTCTTTCTTTCTTTCTTTCTTTCTTTCTTTCTTTCTTGCTCGTTCTTTCTTTGATTCTTTCTTTTCACTTCTCATTTTTCTTTCTTTCTTTCTTTCTTTCTTTCTTTTCTTCTTTCTTTCTTTCTTTCTTTCTTTCTTTCTTTTCTTCTTTCTTTCTTTCTTTCTTTCTTTCTTTCTTTCTTGCTCGTTCTTTCTTTGATTCTTTCTTTTCACTTCTCATTTTCTTTCTTTCTTTCTTTCTTTCTTTCTTTCTTTTCTTTCTTTCTTTTTCTTTCTTTTTCTTTCTTTCTTTTCTCTTTTCTTTCTTTCTTTTCTTTTTTCTTTCTTTCTTTCTTTCTTTCTTTCTTTCTTGCTCGTTCTTTCTTTGATTCTTTCTTTTTCACTTTCATTTTTTTCTTTCTTTCTTTTTTCTTTCTTTCTTTTCTTCTTTCTTTCTTTCTTTCTTTCTTTCTTTTCTTCTTTCTTTCTTTCTTTCTTTCCACATCTCATTCTTTCTGATTACATTCGTTACTGAAGAAATTTGGAATTTATTCTATGAATTCTATAGAGAAGATACGTTTGCCTTTCTCTCTCGCTTTTTCCATTCTTTCTTTCTTTATTTTCATCTTCCATTTTTCTTTCTTTTTTTCTTTGTTTTTCGTTCTATCTTTTCACTTCTCATTTTTTTCTTTCTCTCATTCTTTCTTTCTTTTCACTTCTCGGTCTTTTTGATTTCGTTCCTTTCTGAGGAAATTAGGGATTTATTTTATCAATTCTATAAAGAAGATAATTTCGCCTTTCTCTATTTTTTTTTTCTTTATTTCTCTCTTTCGTTCTTTCTTTTCACTTCCCATTTTTCTTTCTTTCGTTTGTTCTTTCTTTTTCATTCTTTCTTTTCACTTCTCATTTTTCTTTCAATATCTCATTATTTTTTTATGTCGTTCTTTTTTCATTTCACTTCTCATCTTTCAAATTACGTTCGTTGCTGAAGAAATTTGAGATTTATCCAATAGAGAAGTTTTTTGTCTTTCTTTCTTTTTTTTTCTTTCTTTCTTTCTTTCTTTCTTTCTTTCTTTCTTTCTTTCTTTCTTTTCACTTCCAATTCTTCTTTCTTTCACTCATTCTTTCTTTTCACTTCTCATTTTTTTTTCTTTCTCTCATTCTTTCTTTATTTTCACTTCTCGTTCTTTCTGATTACGTTCGTTGCTGAAGAAATTTAGGATTTGTTCTATTAATTCTATAAAGATGCTTCGGCACTTCTCACTTCTTTTTCTTTATTATTTCTGATTACATTCGTTGGTCAAAGAATTCATGTTTTATCGAATCTATAAAGAAAACATCCCTTTCTTCCTATGTTTGCTTGTTTCTTTCTTTCACATTTCTTTCATTCCTTCTTTTTTTTTCACTTTTCAGAATTAAAAAAATAAATAAGAAAACCTGTAAAAGTGGAAATAAAGGATAGAAACACAAATACACCCATGCAAGAAATTAGAATAAAAAGGGGGAAGGCAATTAAAATATTATGACAAATATTTATTCTTTGATCAACTTAATGTAATTTTCATCCAGTTTAAAAAGTAATGGAATAATCCTTTAAACTAATAATAATAAAATAATAATCATTTAAAATTGTTTAATAAAAAATTTAATAATAAACTAAAAAAACAAATGTTAAATAAACTAAATGATTACTTATTCTAACAATAAAAAAATCAATAATCATATAATCCAAGTCAATGCAAAAATTATTAATATATTTAAATTTGATTAACACAAAATCGAATCATTCAAATCAGATTAAGATTGAACAATCATTTGAACTAATTTATATAACATTAAATTAATTTAATATAAAACTGAATAACATTTAAAAACATTTTAATACAAAACTAAATAATCATTTAAATAACACAAATAAATTGATCCTTTAATATAAAACTGCATAATTCGTGAAATTAACTTAATAAAAAATGAATAATCATTTTAGTAATTTAATTTAAAATTAAAATTTAACATAAATCTGAATAAATATTTAAAACACCTTAATTAATAAATGAATAAATATTTAGATAAAAAAAGTCAATACAAACAGACGTTGATGAAGATAAGATAAAAAGGAGGTTCAACGATAGAGCTCTGGGGAACCCCTGCATCAGCTAGATTGAGAACTGATGACAATTAGGAAACAATGTAGGTCCAAGAATACAACCCTAAAAGATACCTGGTCTAATGCAAAACGATTTAGAACAGTGGCCATTTAAGACAACTTTCATTTCGTGATTTGATAAGAAAGATTGAATCACATCAAAAATCTATCTAGAAATACCATAATCTTTCAACTTGTGAAGAAGACCAAAATATCAAATACCTTTTGAAATATCCAAAGCACAGCCTGAACCTCACCATTCTTACCTAAAGTTTAACCTTAACATAACTATCGGACGTACTATTAAGCCAAGAGTAAATAGTTGTGTCATCAGCATAAGTACTTAGTTGAGTGATAATATCGGGAAGGTCGTTGATGAAGATAAGAAAAAAAGGAGGTTCAACGATAGAGCCCTTGGGAATTGCTGCTTTAACTTGAAAGGATCTTCATGAATGGCCGTTCAAAACGTTTTCATTACACTATTTCTTAAGGATTGGATTACGTCAAAAGTTCAAACATAACACAATAATCTCTCAGACTCACTTAATACAATCTTAACTAATTATTTATAGTAATTTGATACAAAATTTAATAATCATTTCAACCTTTTTATGTAAAGTAAATAATTATTTAAAGTACCTTAATATAAATTTAAATAATCACTCAGAAAACAGAAAAAAAATCATTTACAGAGATGCAAAACTCACTGAAATTAAATTAAATCAATAGCGAAAATTAATAATCATTTAAATCAGCTCATGAGAAAATCAAATTATCATGTAAACAATCTGAATACTAAAAATCATTTAAATTATGTCAACATATTTAAATAATAATCTCTATCTATAAAAGTCAGGGTGTGTGTGTGTGTGTGTGTGTATGTAACGAATGCACGGCCGCAATTTTTCGACAGATTTGCACCAAAATTTACATGCACATGCTCCAAGTTAGTGGGAAGGCCAAGACTGACTTTTCATTTTCCAACTTCCATTGATAGTAGAAATAATCGATTTTTTCATGCTTCTACGGCAGTTTTCATGTAGTTTGCGGCTATTTTCTACTGGCCAGAGTGAGAGCCTATTGCTGGCTGCCACGAATAGGCAGGAGGATTCTATTGACCAGCGTGACAGCCAACAGCTGACTGACATGAATGTTAACTAGCATGCTAGCATGAAAAAAAAATCGATAGTTGCATTCGTCACAAGTGGGAAAAATTTAAATCTGCATGGCACTTTACTCCAATTGGCTCATTCGCTTGCTTAAACTCAACGTTGATTCTGATTCCGCAGAACTGGGTTGGGTGTGAAAAAGTATTTGTTGTTAACATTCTTTTTTTCATTCGATTTTTCCAGTTACGAGTCCTTTTTTAAAGCTGATCGTTTTGTGTTCATTTTGTTTAGTTCTTTTTTCGTAACAGATTTAATGTTTAGTATAGAGCTTAGAAAAAATTCGCTGTGTGAGATAGGCAAGAAGTAAGGCATGTAGCAACATCAGCACGACAAAGGGCACTCCTTTAAAGGCAAGGAAGGGCAAAAATATTTTAAGTCAAGTGATAGCGATTGCTGTATGAGTCGTACGATTTTTGAATCAAGCACGGACAACGCCGGGCCATGCTGCTAGTTTTAAATAATGACATAAAAACCGAATAAATAAATAAGTTAATTTATTTTAATCATTTCACAAGGTGATAAAGCTACTCAAGTGGTTAGTGGGAGTGAAGGAAATTCAGAGATCGTTATTGAGAACAAGACACAATAAAAGAAGGATAAAAATTTTAAATTGCGTTTAAATCTTTGAAAATCGTATTTGACAGAAGATCAATAAACCGAAAGAGAGTTCCACAAGACAGGGAAATGCAGATGAAGGAACTATTAGAATAGAACTTGCAGTTACATATACCAGTTTCAATAGTAACATGACGATTTAACACTACGCTTAAATCCGTGAATCAAGGTACCAACAAGGAAAGCTAATCAGAGCAATTGCTATGAAAGTATTTATAGAAAAGGCACAGGGGAGTTACGTTGCAGCGTTGGGAAAATGATCGAAGCCGAGATGCCTTTGCCAATGTTTCATCGGATTTTATCAAGAATCTCTAGACATACATAACAGAAGCACCAAACCAGGTGTAGCCACAATACTCAATGAACGGACATGCAAATGTGTAAGATAGAATCTAGTAAGAGAAATTGCTCAGCACAGTACAGTGAACCAATTTTCCTACGAACAGAACAAGCAATAAACAAGAATAATGAGTTAAGACAATGCAAAATGTAATAGCACGTTTAAACTAACTTAATACAAAACTAGATTATCATTTAAAACAATACAAACTTTAATAATAAAGCAGGCATTTCTTAGTTTTTGAAAGTTATATACAGTTGAGCTATTATTTTTCTCTCTTTTATTCCTTTGTGAGATGACAGATGAAATTTACTTTTAAACCATTTTACCTCGTTTTTATTGCTAATTTTGCTTTATGGTTTTAACATTTTAAACTTATTATCTATCGTCTTCATTAAGAGTTTATCACGAAGCCGACGGCATTAGAGAAACTACAGATTTTCATTATGACAGTTAATTTCAATGTGTCTCTTTTTCTTCAGGATATATTTAAGCTTTGTACCGTTAAGACCTTGGTTTTTCTTCATGTTATATTTTAATTTTTGACTGTTACAATCTCTCAGTTTCTTCGTGTAAACTCAAAGCTTTGTACCGTTAAGATATCCGCTACTTCCAGCTATATTTAAGTTGCGTACCGTTAAGATGTCTCTGTTTCTTCAAGATAAATTTAAGCTTTGTATCGCTAAGATGGCTATGTGTCGACATTTCTTTTTCTTCAGGCTATATTTAAGTTTTGTTCCGTTAAAATGCCTATGTTACTTCATGCTATAGTTAAGTTTTGTACCTCTAAGATGTGCCTTTTTCATCATACAATATTTTTTACCGTTAAGATGACTCCGTTATTTCATGCTATATTTAAGATTTGAACTATTAGGGTGTCCCTGTTTCTTCAGACGATATTTAAGCTTTGCATCACTAACATTTCTTCGTGATATATAGGGTGTTTCGATAAGACGGATTATATATAAGGGTGTTTCATTTTGGATCAAAATTAGCAGTAAATAAATCAGTGTTATTGGTGAACATTTATTTATTTCTCTGTTGGATCATTATATTTAAGTCAAGGCAATTATGTGTGAAAAATAATATCGCTTAAATGTCTGCCAAATCTGAAAGAAAAAGAAAAAATCATTAGACGCTTAAACTTAATTCACATTAAAATCGGTCCAAGATATTGGAGCACCCTTTATTTAAGCTTCTTACCGTTAAGATATCACTGATTCATTGTGTTATATTTAAGCTTTTACCGCTAAGATGTTTTTGTTTCTTCAGGCTAAGTTTTAGTTTTGTATCGTTAAGCATTCATAAAGAAATGTTCAATATCTGCAGTATTTATCTAGCAACAATTTCATTTTGGCATTTTAGAAGGAAATCTTAAAATATTTCTCTTTTCACCGTGTTAAGTTGGTAAATTCTTCGTTCCTTTAATACTTTTTCGTATTTCGGTTTTTTATCGTAACGTTTTAAACTTATCAACGGTCCTATTTTAACAAGAGTTGATCGAAAAGCTAGTTGCTTAGTGGGAACGAAATGACCTTTTTTCTTTTCTGACTGTTAATTTCAACGAGTCAATGTTTTTTCCTGTTATGTTTAAGCTTTGTACAGTTAAGAATTTACAATGAATTTGTTGATATCTGCAGTATTTATCTCGTTTATTTACACTATTTACATGTAGACTATTGTCCTCATCTTTGTTGTTGTTATCAGAATGTTTTGGCTGTTGCACCCCACCCCGCCTTCATCAGGTGTATGTCGATCCCGATACCCTACAAGTAATTTCGAATTTAACGCTTTATTTAATCTATGTGAGTAGACTGTTCTCTTTCTATTGTCAATGTCGAGAAACCAGCAACGATTGGTGAAATGAAAATTTCCATAGAGCAATAATGTAGCGAAATACGTTAACTAAATGATCATTGCTGCTTGTGATCTCATTGGGTCGCGTTGTCAGTAATGTCGGAATCATAACAAGCATCATTTTGAAAATATGCAATGTCAAAATCTTCCTATGCATTATTCAAATTAGATATAGTTGATTCTAGTTGGCCGACGTATTTCTTGATAAAGCTTCAAGATGTGTATACATTTTTCAGACAATATATATATATATATAATTTTCGTTGGGCTTCAACCAAACCTGGATAATATATATATATATATATATATATATATATATATATATATTATAAATTAATTGATTTAAAATATGGTTTTTTTACACAGTTCAACCATGTTTCAAAAATAAAGCTAAAAGTTCGATTTAATTTTGCAATTAAATTAAAAGTATTAGTACCATTTCATCATCAAGCGAATGAAATGGAACTAATGCTTTTAATTTAATTGCAAAATTAAATTCGGGGCTTTTAGCTTCTATTTTTGAAACATGGTTAGAACTGTGTAGCGGAAAAAACATTTTAAATCAATTAATTTATAATATTATGCTCTGTAAATTTACATTGAGCACTATTTTGTAAAAATAAAAATATCTATAAGAACACCGGATTATATATCTTACTGTTCTTTCTTTTTTATATATATATATATATATATATATATATATATATATATATATATATGTGTGTGTGTGTGTGTGTATTTAGGCAGCAATCCTTTTTTATGCGCATTTTATTGAATACGACAAATAAAAACATTATATAAATACATACATACAACAATCTATTTCTAGTTAACAGTTAATATATATCAACCTTGGAAATGGCTAAATGTATAGCCGAAAGCGCTCGGAGAAAAAAGAATAACTGGCCTGTTTTTATATAATTTATCATCCAAAAAAACTAAATCAAAACACCTTGTCTGTCGTATTCAATGAAATATATATATATATATATATATATATATATATATATATATATATATATATATACGTATATGTGTGTGTTTTACAGTGATTTTTACTCTGTACAAGGCCCAGGGCCACTCGAGGTAGAGGGGTTACATTAAGAGACATTTTATACTGGTTAGGTGGGGAAGATAATGGTTAACCCTAGACTAGAACAAGTTAAGATTGTAGGGTTCTGGGAAACACCCTCTTGGGACTCGATTCCAAAGACCAGTTCTTCGCGGGAAGATGCTGTTCGAGTGGAACTGATTTCTCACCGATGGGATAATGAATTAATGTGGGTGGTTTGCTACAATGTAAGTGGCATGGCGGATCCTAGCCGTTAAGGTTACTGTACTGTACTGATGCGGTATTCACCCTGGGCGGATTGAGCCGGCTTCTTCCTGTTATGAGAAGAAGATTCTTGGGATAAATTACAGAAGTCGTTTACCCAGGCCTACTCGGATAACGTTCTTGCTTGCCGCGGGTTCCCACAGACGCAGAGACAGGAACGACCAGAAGCCGCCGGTTACCGATGCAGACGCTCTTGATTTTCACCAGAGCCCTTGTTAGTTGGCGTGTGTGTCAGACCTGTCCGCCTTTGGTGGCCCTACCAGGAACGAAGTTCCGGGCGGCATAGCTCTGACACTACCGTTTACACCACCCCACCGACTGTGAGGTAAGGGTTGGACTTTGGGGGCTTACAGTACCAGGTGTTCCCAAGCGGTCCCCCATCTAAGTACTGACCTGGCCCTACGCTGCTTAACTTCGGTGATCGTACGAGAACCGGTGTTTCAGCGTGATTTGACCGTAAGCCGTTAAGGTTAGACCTGGCGTAACCAAGAAATGTAGTTCGTCCGAGCACTTTCCATGGAAGTAGCGATAGAGTAGCGAGAGGCTTGCCACATCCCGCCTGTGAGAGAGAAGTTGGAGGGTGAAAAACAATTTGTCACCCAAAAGGCCTTGGAGACGCTTCTGAACTCGAGATTTAATGCGTTAACATACAGCAATCATGGCAAGACGCTTTTGAACTCTATCAAAACAGGAAAGCGAGGACTGGGCAGCGCTAGCCGAAAATGTGGCAACAGTACTCGGCCTGATCTGGTTCTTGTAAAGGTAGAGAATAGCATAAGGAATCAGGTACTTACTGAAGCAGTACAGAGAGCCAACCATTTCCGCAGGATCTTTAACAATGGATCGTATGTAACAGCTCCATTTGAGGTCTGAGTTTAGGGCTCAATAGTCGCTCAAGACACGGGTCTCCCCGAGGGAACAACCATTCATCGTGACTGGCGGTACTTCGCAGTCGGATTGGCAATGATGGAATGTAACTAGTTTAGTATTGAATGAAACCAGCCAGTCTCCCCCCACCACTGTGAAGTTAGCGCTCGATCGGATAAAAGATCAGCTGCCAATCTCTAATCATCAAGAGTTTTAGAAATTAGAGAGAGAGAGAGAGTGATGGGAAGGCAGACAGCTAAAATAGTACATCGCAACTCGTTATTGAAGCTCCGTCATCAAAGATGTCGATTATTTTGTTTCACGTGTCCTTGCGCTGTCTCTGTGTCATTGACTTCAAAGCCAAGCGTCTTTCGCCCGCCATTCCGTAACACTTCAAAGGTGTCCATCAAGAAAATGGGAAAAGAGTTAAGATAAATCACTGCGCTTGAAAAGGCCAACGAAGAGGCGTGTCTCTGCTTCTTACATCGGCTCACTTAGGATCAAATCATGGACGAGTCTATTTTATTTCATGAAATAAAAGCAGTCATTATTATAAAGGGGACAAGAGGAAAACTTCAACTAAAGTAGTTGGTAATATGAAGAGAAAAAAAAGAAATGGGAAAACAGAAAAAAGCGAAAAGAAACAAACAAAAATACTAGAGAGTGAGTTAAAAGGTTATCGCTACCCATTCGTCAGAACTCGACCGAAGAAATTAAAATATTGTGCATGTCAAATAAAATAAGAAATCACACGAAGAAAATACAGACATTATAAAAAGGGACAAGAGGCAAGCAACAACAGTTGGCAATATGAAAAGAATGAAAATGAAGAGGAAAAGGAAAAATACTAGCCGGTTATCGCTCCTCACTCATCAAAACTCGACCGAGGAAATTAAAATATTTTACATGTCAAATAAAATAAGAAATCATACGAGAGAAAATACAGACATTATAAAAAGGGACAAGAGGCAAGCAACAACAGTTGACAATATGAAAAGAATGAAAATGAAGGGAAAAATAAAAAAAAAATTCTAACCGGTTATCGCTCCTCACTCATCAAAACTTGCCCGACGAAATTTTGCACACCGATTACAAAAAAAGGGAAACACGAGGAAAAATACACACGTATCAATAATATATGACAACGATAGATGCATAGATAGATCAAACTAAGTCCGAACAACCAATTCTTTCGTTTACATCACTTGCAGACACATCGCGTTGAAACACCGTTTTCCATACGATCACCGAAGTTAAGGAATGTCGAGCTTGGTCAGTGCCTAGATGGGTGACCGCTTGAGAATATCAGGTTCTGTAAGCTTGGATGGACGTGTGATCTAATGGATAATAATTCGGAATTTATAATAGGGGAGCTGAGTATTAACCCCACCTTTTGCACCAGGCATGGGTTAATTAGGAAGACTTTTATCACTAAACTACTATTATCTAAAAAAATATTCTAAATTCCAAATGAAAAAAAATTCTGGCTTTACAAAACCAGGAATGGGTTGATAACCCGTAGTAAACGAATCAACCAAGCTTTTGTTTACATAAATGTTGTGGTAGGATCCACCTAATTTGCATAGTGGAGTACCGACCATATAAATATGGTTGGTACCGGGAAGACGAGGGGAGGAATCAAGAGATCCAATCCAGAGACTCTGCCCGACTGCGACTAAGTCAACCCATTCTCCAGGAACGGTTTTTCCAAGAATATACAAAAGAGTATATGTAAATATTGTGTACACTTTCTTGTTTCAATACATTTTGTTCTAAGTACATTTTGTGTTGTATTATTATTCCATGCATTAGGCAAGTTTCAACAATAATGCCACGATTTAATATAAATGGTCTTAAAACATTTAGTTGGTAGTTTTTTTGTTTTTTTTTAAATTATTTTATCCCAAACAAGGCGGGAATGACACTAGCACGCAAGGGGTTACAGGGGGTAGAGAACAACAGTAAACAGGTGTGTTTGAGGAGAGAAGGACGGGGTGTTCAAGGTATCAAAATATGTCGATTGACATTACGCTTGAATATTTGAAGATTATAGTTACCAGGGAAGCAAGTAAGAGGAAGAGAATTCCACAGACGAGAAGTGCGAGAGATGAAGATGTTTGAGTAGAAGAGACGGTTACATTTAACCGTTTCGACTGTGAAAAATTGAAACCGAGATGCCAACCTCGCTTAAATTCAGGTTCTGTAAGCTTAAATGCTCGCTTAACTTCATGCAGTCTGGGCACCAGCGAAAGTAGCTCGTCGGAACATTTGCCGTAAAAATACTTATAGAAGAGACAGAGGGAAGCCACGGCACATCTGTGAGAAAGCGACTGTAGGCTAGATGCCAGATCAAGACCTATCACATTGCATATCCCTCTGGATTTTATCGGGGACCAAGTGATGAACAGCGGGAGCAACCAGACCATATATGGCAGCAGTATTCCATGCAAGGACGAATGGTTGATTTGTAGATTGAAAAGGATGGACTCAGGAGAGAAAAAAACTTTCTGGCGTGACACAGAGAACCAATATTCCTTGCGGTAGTTGAAGCTATAGATTTAATGTGTTTGTTCCACTTCAGGTTAGTGGACAGAGGGAAGCCACGGCACATCGACTGTAGGCTAGATGCAAGATCAGGACCTATAATATTGCATATCCGTCTCTAGATTTTCTCGAAGACCTCGAGACTTACAGTTGGAAAGTATATAGATTTAACCAACAAAAAAAATAAAAACAAAAACCCAAAAAAGACAAAAAACAAAAAAAAAACAAAAAATAAACAAAACAAATAAACAACAACAAATCTTGTGTCAGCCTTGTAAATTTACATTTTGCCGAATGTTTTTAATGCTGATGGAAAGATTTTTCATCATTTTATCTCTATTTGTTCATTTATTGAGTGATTTTTTACGTCTTGTCAACCCTTTTAATGTTACCATAAATTTATTTTTATATACAGAATAAGTGTGTGTGTGTGTGGGGGGGTAAACATTAAACATGGATTCCCAGGATTTGAGAGCATTCCAAACTAAAGGGGCCATTTTAAATGTGAAGCCAGTTAGTATTAGTCTCCATTTTAAGATATGGTATCTTACTACCGTTTACAGAATGGAGAAAAACGATACGTGAATGGCGAAAAAGAAATGAAAATATATAGAATCTTGATGAAAAAAGTAAATACAGCGAAAGAGGTGGGGTGGGATAAACACCTTCTTCGTCTCTTCATCTGAAAAAGAAGACGATAGAGAAAGAGAGAGTGAGGGAGCATGTGAAGACAAATGGAGTCTGTAGTAATAAAGAAGGAAAAAGGAAAAGAACGTACAAATAGTAAGTTCAGACAAAAACACAATATTGGGAAAGGCATGAATCCACTTCTTTCCTCTGCCAGCAGCTGACGGTTAAAAGGCAACATAAACCTGGCACCTTAGCATTGACAAACGTTATAATCTAGGTTTGACTGTATCATCAAAACTCTCAAGTCGATATCCTGCAAAAAGAAAAGTTGGCTGATATTGATTATGCAGATGACCTAGCTTTCACTGCAGACTCCATTACCAATGTCACGGTTCTCCTACATCATCGAGAAAATGCTGCCAACGATGTCAGTGTATCTAAAACTGCAATCATAGGCTACAACCAGCAAGACTCAATACAAACTGTCTCAGGTGAATCAATAGTCTCTCGAATCTTTTACATACATAGGAAGCAAAATAAATTTTATTCAAAAGCATGTGAAAATTTGCATAGCTAAAGCCTGGGTTGCCTTGAATAAAATGGATGTAATCTGGAAATTTCATCTACCAGAGCTTCTTTCGTGTCACAGTAGTTATGGTATGGCGTCACTGTTTGGTTATTAACCAAGACCCTAGAGTCTAAGCTTGATGGAACCTAGACTTGAATGCTGAGAGCTATAATTAACATCTCTTGGAGACAAAATCCAATTAAATAACAGCTCTATCCTTGATATTTCTACAATGTTACGTGAACGCAGAATGCGCTTTGCAGGACATTGCTGACGAGCAAAACAAGAATACGCGAGTGATCTACTGCTCTGGAAACCTAGCCATGGCGCAAGATGAGCTGATCGCCCATCTACCATGAACATTGGCCAGCTATGTTATAACACAGAATGCGACCCTAATGACCTTTTGACCTTGATACAGGACCGTGATGGTTGTCATGATAGAATCATGAATGTCCGAGTTAGCTCGACCGAATAAAAATAATAATCATATATATATATATATATATATATATATATATATATATATATAGAGAGAGAGAGAGAGAGAGAGAGAGAGAGAGATTAAAGAAAATTGCTGCCCAAATACACCCCGTTTATTTTGATATCAACTTAATTTCAGATCTGTTCCTTCATGAAGACGTTATTACATAACATAATTTAATCTGAAATTGTACGATTATAGGTATTAGATATTTTTGCCATTATAAAAAGGATTTTGTATAAAATCCTAGGTATTTGTATAAAATAAATGAGTTTAAAATATAGTAAACTGTTTCAAAGGGCCACAAAGATCTGGAAGTTTTTGAGACTTCTAATCGCACACGTCCTGAAGGGACAGACACAATTATTTATAGTTCATTGAAATTTAGACACATTGATATTATCGTCATATTCAAATTTACAGATGATGTTTTTAAAATCGTTTCAACCCTAAGCAAGGCGATAATTCCACTAAGACACAAGAGGCTACTGGGAGTGAATGAGAAAACTTTAGAAGGAACCGGAAACCCAATCCTAAATAGGACACAAGAGATAAACCTCTACTCCAGTTTAAAACAACAGGGGGACAGATTAAACATGTTTGTGTGTGTGTGATAATGAAACGATAAACCACATACATTTACCAGCTATGTTATGGTACGGAATGCGACCATAATGACCTTTTGACCTTGGTGCAGGACCGTGATGGTTGGCGTGATAGAATCATCAATGTCCGAGCTAGCTCGACCGAATAAAAGCTTTGTGTGAAAGTCACAGTAAAAAGACAAATCAGAATTCAAACCCATGGAGAAAACACTGTACTAAATTTCCTAAGAAATAATGACACTCCACATATTCCATTATCTTTTTGTTGTGGATTCCGGGATGAAATCCGGTACCAATAAATAACAAACGCCAAGAAGGAATATAGGAAAATAAATGTATTAATGTAATAATACAAACTGGTAATGCAGGTTAGTAGTTCCATGAATGCGGGTTAGTAGCCATATATATATATATATATATATATATATATATATATATATATATATATAGTCTTTGGTATCGACATATCACTGTATGACTTCTTACTGAGTCTACGTGTTTGCTTCACTGTGACTCTTGGTCGTTCCGTTCGTGCTTGTTCGTCGCCCATTCTCGTTCTTCTCCCGGGTATTCACTAGCAGTAGTATATGTATACCCTGGGTGAGTCCATTTGTGTAAAAAGGGGAGAACTCCTCAACACTTTTCTAAGCAAGCACAGAAATTCACAGATAATCCACTCTCTTTTCCAAGGAGTCATGGCAGTTCACAGATAATGAAGAAAGGAATCTATGGGGAGCCGTGAATGCCTTTTGTATTAAATATATATGGCGTTTTAAACATGCAGAAAATGTTTATTATTTTCTTCTATTTTCAGTATTACAATCAATAAGCAACAATACGCTACTTTAAAAATTTGAAAATGTATTCTGATATGACAGCTGTCAAAATAAAATCGCAGACGATCTTTTCAAAGTTTGTTAACCTAAACACTGCTCATGCCATCAAATGTCAAACGCTGAACGATCGCTACAGACAAGCCAGTATACAAGAATAGATTTACAGGCACATCTTTGATATACAGAAAGATAAAGAAAACAGAAAAAGAAAGAAAGGAAACAAAAACATACTAACAGAGATTTTGCAAGCATATGAATGTATAACAGCATCAAACAAATGGTGGGACAGTATTATTTAGATTTTGCTCGCTTGTTGCATCATCATCTGTGTCATATAGGAATAAAGTGTCGCTACCGACACTTGGGTTTGAACACGGATCGCCAGAGAGCAAGCACAGTCGAGATGTATATATGGGAATTATCGTCTGACCGAGTATTGTACGAAGGTGTTACTAAAGGGTGTTCCAATAATTTGGACCGATTTGAAATGTGAATTATGTTTAAACATTTAATGATTTTTTAAAGTTTTTTTTTTTTCCAGATTTAACAACTTAAATCTTTGGCTGTTTCAACCATGGAAAGATTAACAACCAAACACGGTTTTTAAAGTTATCGAAGTCTATTACGAAAATGGACGTTCAAACAGAAATAGATTTCGCGCACTTTCCGATCTTTTGGTCAACATAATCGACCAACCGAGAGTGCAATTGGAAACGATGTAACATTGTTGTAGAGAGGTTCAATTCCTGCGCGCGATGATGAATAGAGGGGTCTGGATTTTCGGCCACATTCTCGTGCACTGTGGCAATGTTCTCAGCTGAACCGTTTAAACGAGTACGCAATGGTATTTTCACATCTACAACCGAGACAATTTGTTTGAATTTACGAACAATTTTTCCAATTGCACTCTTGAAACTTTAACACGTTGTTTGATTGTTAATCTTTCGATGGAACTGAATTCTCCACAACAACGTTACATCGTTCCGAATTGCACTCTAGGGTGGTCGATTATGTTGACCAAAAAATCGCGAGGTGCGCGAAATGTATTTCTGTTTGAACATCCATTTTCGTAATAGGCTTCGATAACTTTAACACATTGTTTGTTAATCTTTCGACGATTGAAATTGCGAAAGAGTTAAGTTGTTAAATCTCAAAGAGAAACGAAAAAATCATTAGACGCTTAAACTTAATTCATATTCAAAATCGATCCAAGTTATTAGAACACCCTTTATTATTTTATCTGTGATTTACAAAGTCTCTACTACAAATGAGCTTCACAAAAATCTGTTGGAAGTTATTGGTAAGTTTGATATATTTTGGAAAGATATTAGTATAACTTATACTAGCAGCAAACCGCCTGCCTGCAAATCGAAAAAATCCGGTAAATATAGAAAAATAGAAAGGGTTGTAAGACAAGGATGCGTCTTCTCACCAGACTTATTCAACCTTTACAGTGAGTTGATTCTGAAAGAACTCAAAGTCCTCCAAGATTCATTAACGGCGACAATCGTATCAAGATTAAATATGCACATGGTACAGGAATTTCTACACAATGTAAAGTAAAGCGAGAAGAAAAGACTAAACATAAACTATAAGAAAACAAAAGATATGGTTGTCAGCAAAAAGAACTCAGCAAGCGAATTACAAAATGGAGATGCGAAAAATCAAACAAGGAAGTGTTTTAACGGAGGACGGAAAGTACGACACTGAATTCCGATACCCCAAGATGTATGTTACAAATGAGAGATGTCAAAATTAAACAATTGTGCAAATTCAACTGGACAGACAATGGAAAGGTTTAGTTTGTTTTGTTTTACAGCAACTCAACCCTTTTTAGGTCATTTGATGCCGAAACTGATTATGATTGAAAATAATAGTCAGCTTAAAAGGCTTTCCTTTTTTTGAGGAGGGGGGAATTATATATATATATATATATATATATATATATATATATATATATATAATTTATATATCATTATGTTCATATTTTTGACTAGCAGTAGAGCCCGGCGTTGCCCAGGGATGTAACAGTAAGAGATAGATCAAGTATCGACCATCATAAAGACTGAAAAATAAAATTGATAAAGATTATTGTTTAAGGTTAACGGACACGCATGTCTTAATTAGTTTTTTTTAGTTTTTTTACGAATTAGTCAAACCCAAACTCAAACAAAAACATTGTTTTCAATCGTTATGAGTTTACCAATTGAATGGAATTTTATTATAAACAATTGTCTTGTAATTGGAATTTTTAAAGCATTCTGAATGTAAAATAAAGAAAAAAGTGTGCTAGACAATAAGAAACACTACCCGCCAAAAAAAAAAAAAAAAAAAGTGAGTTTTTGTTGAAATCGGTTGAAAATGTAAGAAATCCGATCCCATATATAAACGAACACAGACACACACACACACACAAACAACCTGGGTTTTATAATAAGTATAATTCGATATGAGTTGTACCCTTTTCATTCTCGACAGCGATGCTTCTTAATGGTGTTTTCAAATTGATTTCGTGCAAAAACAATTGTGTTTTTCCAATTTTTGGTGCTGTCAGAGCCACCGCAAGGTAATTTTACGTAGTCCTGGGAAGTTTTGTTGAAATCGGTTGAAAAATGAATCCGATCCAATATATAAACGAAACACACACACACACACACACACACACACACACACACACACACACACACACACACACACACACACAACCTGGGTTTTATAATAAGTGTGACTTAAGTCTTTTCTTTTAGAAAGTTTATTATTTTGGAAGAGGGAATTTTGTTGAAAAGTTCTCTCAAATTGTTTACTTAGTAAAATCTTTCTCATTGGAATAGCGAAAGATATCTTTCAAAAGCTAAGCAAAGTATTAAGAAACAATAAAATCCCGTTAGAAACAAAGGAAAGAGTACTTAATTGTTATGCAATGTCGGTCCTCCCATATGACAGTGAATACTGGACAATCACTACACAGATGAAGAGACTTGAGACAACAGAAATGTAATTCTACAGAAGGATGATGAGAATACCATGGACCGAACATGTGGGGAATGAGGAAGTTTTAAGGAAAATGGAAACAAAAAAGTAGTATTATACTTAACATCAGAAAGAGTTGAAATTTCTGGGGTACGTAATGAGGAAAGAGGGCCTAGAAAATTTGACACACACAGGACAGACTGAAGGCAAGAGGGCAAGAGGAAAGTATCACATAGACCTAAAAACTTGTGTAAATCGTTGGCAGAACAGCGATTAGGGAAAATAGCGAAAAGACAAAATATATAAAGAGCTACAAAAGATAGAAAATTGTGGAGAGCCATGATCGGTCACTGCATGACTGGACATAGAAGAAGAATTTGAAGCAATGTATTTTCGTAGATTCGAATATCATCTTTTGGCATAGGATATTGCACAATGTTAAAAGTATGGACATCCTTCCATACGTACACCAGTGTTAAAATATTGATAGATAGGGTGACAAAGAGAGAAAGAAATGCATATATATATATATATATATATATATATATATATATATATGTGTGTGTGTGTGTGTGTGTGTGTGTGTGTGTGTGTGTGTGTAAAGAGAGAGAGAGAGAGCAATAGATAGCTAAAAGAGATGGAGGCGTTAAAAGATATTAGTTAATCGCGTCGCGTAATTAGGGAAGTGGGTATCATTGTCTCACACCAAACAAGTTGTATCAGTTCCGGTTGCTCTCCACTAGGTAGCGCCTTTATCGCGCTGAAGTGGTGGGCGTGAAGTGGTTGTCAACTGGCTGGCAGCCCTGGCGACGATCAGCTGCATATAATTCTGGCCTTAGGTCAAAGAACAGATTTGGCTTCCGCAAACATCTCTTTCTCTCTCTCACACTCCTTTTCTCTCTCTCACTCTCTCACTCTCTCCCTCTCTCTCTCTATATATATATATAATTGTGTGTGTATGTTTGAAAGAGAGAAAGAGAGGAGGGAGATAGAGAAAGAGGGGAGGGAGAGAGAGAAAGAGAGGAGAGAGAGAGATTACCAAGGTTTGAATTGACGGAATACACTATTACGTTAAAAGAGAGAAAAAGGAAGCTTTTGGGATATTTAACACATTTTTAAAATACGTTCACACCCATGCACAGATTTACCCACACTTTCATAGCCAATGATATTTCACAGGAAATGCAAAAATTCTACTGTGCATAGTATATATATATATATATATATATATATATATATATATATATATATATATATATATATTTAATGTATATTTGAACAGCGATGTCTTTCAAACAAGTTTCTTTGAATATGACATACAAGGGAAAATTTTATAAATTTTTATTGCACTTATATATATATATATATATATATATTATGGAGTTTTCTCTCTTTTCTCTCTCTCTCTCTCTCTCTCTCTCTCTATATATATATATATATATATATATATATAGTGATTTTCCAAGCATTGCTTATATATGGCAAGAAAGTCGAGGGCACTCAGTGAGGATCGAACTCACTACTCAGTCGTAAATTTTCTGGCGAGACAAGCTTGCTAACCATTACATCGCCTCGAGGCGCCTCTTTCTCTCTCTCTCTCTATCTATCTATCTATCTATCTATCTCTATCTCTCTCTTTCTCTCTCTCTATATATATATGCATCCGCTATCTGTCTAATAATGTGTAGATCTCTGTATCAATGTATCGATATTTGAATAGATATATGTGTATGCTTTCGCTGTAACGTGGTCACTGTATATATATATATATATATATATATATATATATATATAGCGGCGATGGCTAAATTGTCATCTAAATTACGGGATAAAATGAAAATCATAGTCATTTCATTTTAACAGATATATTTACCAAAAATCAAAGACAAGCATACGCAAAATTGAATATATAAGATGGCGACAATTTACCCATCGCACCGTGTATATAAACATATGCATTCGCTGTCTAGTAATGTATCGATCTGTATATATATATATATATATATATATATATATATACTGAATACCTATGAACACAAATGCCCCAATCCTCCCTAAATACGTTGGAAACTCTTGCAAGTAGGGGTAATATGCTGTCAAAGTAATTCAGCACTTGCAGTGGTTTACCTACTTCACGCCGCTGGCGAGTATTGTATTTTGTTGATGTTATAAAGATTACCGTTTAATTTCCAACATTCGTTTTGGTTATTTCTGTTAATCATTTCAACCCAAGAAAGACCATAAATCGACTAAGACAAAATGGTATACTGAGTGTGAAAGAATAAGAAAACGAAAGCATTATTAAGGGGTGAGAAGAAATAAAAGACGGGGAATCAAGAAGACAGCAGATGACGATGGGCTTTGCACTTAATTTTTGGGAGATCAAAATTGACTGGAAAGCAAGAAGGAAGACGAGAGTTCCACAGGTAAGAAGAAATTGTTAGCATATAACTTACGGTTACATCTAGCTTATTTCAAATGTAAAAAGATGAGACCTTGTTACCGATCTAGTATTGCGTTTATACACACACACACACACACACACACACACACATATATATATATATATATATATATAATGGACGGTTACTTCCGTTTTTCTGTTCAAGCGTTATGCCAATCCCTGTGGCAGACACCTGTTCACACACAATTTTATTCAACACCAACAGAGACCACCTGCAGTACATAGTGCAAAAATGCCAAGCGGACCTTATTTACAGTTTCTGGGGAGAGAGCGCATTAACTGTATGTTAGTGTGAGCCGGAATGACATCATAACTGGTTTGAGAATGTTTGGTATTAAACGTTGCACTATTTAGTATTTGCTTTTTTTCAGTTGGTGCACTTGTTGCTTATACGAGGACACACGCAAGCATATAGAACACTGCTGATAAGCAGGTTCATCCTGAATCTATCTATCTATCTATCTATCTATCTATCTATCTATCTATCTACCTATCTATGTATCCCAATCAGTATCTATCTATCTATCTATCTATCTATCTAGCTAGCTAGCTAGCTAGCTAGCTATCGCAATCTGTTCATATCGAAATATCGTGATCTGTTCCTATCTATCTATTCATCTATCTATCTATCTATCTATCTCATATCTATCTATCTATCCATCGCAATCTGTTCATATCGAAATATCGTGATTCATCTATATTCTATCTATCTATCTATCTATCTATCTATCTAGCTAGCTAGCTAGCTATCTAGCTATCTATTGCAATCTGTTCATATCGAAATATCGTGATCTGTTCATATCTATCTATCTATCTATCTATCTATCTATCTATCTATCTATCCCAATCAGTATCTATCTATCTATCTATCTACCTATCTATCTATCTATCTATCTATCTATCTATCTATCTATCTATCTATCGCAATCTGTTCATATCGAAATATCGTGATCTGTTCATATCTATCTATCTATCTATCTATCTATTGCAATCTGTTCATATCGAAATATCGTGACCTGTTCTTATCTATCTATCTATCTATCTATCTATCTATCTATCTATCTATCTATCTCAGTTGAAATCTTTTTATCCTTCTCTCTTTTTCTTCCTGCGTGACACAATAAACTGAATGTATCAGAAATGACATGTCAAGTAAAAGTGTTTCCGGAAACGTCCATTATTTTCAATCCTGTTCTCTTTCTTTGCTCTCCGTTGTTGTAAGTCGTTGGGACAAATAATGCAGACAAAGATGAGCAAACACTCGATATGTTCGAGACACTTTGGATCATAATTCCTATTGCAGACAGTCTGATTCTTTAATAGCGTTACACTGGAGACAGACAAGTGCGGTAAGGAAGGGTACGAATGGGAATGAGAGCGGATAAATCAATGATGAAAACAATCGGCTAGAAGAGAGAGAATTTTATGTGCATTCAGAGAATAAGAGAGAGAGAGAGAGGGAGAAAGAAAGAAAGAGATGTAGACAAAAAGTAGGGAATGCATCAAAAAAGAAAGAGAGTGGGTAAGAAAAACGTTAAAAATGAAGAGATTTTGAATTGACAGCATGAAAGGAAAAGTGAAAGGTACGAAAAATAACGAGACAGACTGTCATAAATAAATAACTAAATAAATAAAGAAGCGAGAAAGAAAGAAGAAGGAATGATCAGGAAGTGAGAAACAGAGAATAAAATAGAAAGAAAGAAAGAAAGAAAGAAAGAAATTGTCAAGATAAAAAAAAGAGGAAAACGAATGAAATTTAGAAAAGGAAAAGAAAGAAAGGAAGGAAGCGGCAAGAAGGAACAGAGAAAATGGAAAAAAAAAAAGACCAACAAGAAAGAATGTGCCCGAATGGAAGACAAGGAGAAGAATTAGGAAGAAAGATTCATTAAGAGCGAGAGAAAGAGAGAGAGATGTATGTATGTATGTATGTATGTATCTATCTATGGCGACAATTTACACATCGCACTCTGTATATAAACATATGCATTCGCTGTCTACTAATGTATCGATCTCTCTCTCTCTTTCTTTCTCTCTCTCTCTCTCTCTCTATATATATATATATATCATCTGCTGTCTTCTTGATTCCCCTTCTTTTATTTCTTCTCAATATTTGGTTTGTGTGTGTGTGTGTGTGTGTGAGAGAGAGAGAGAGAGAGAGAGAGAAAGAGAGAGACACAAAAGAGTGAAAAATGATGAAAAAAGAACGAAAAGCCTGGGATAAAAGGAAGGGTAAAAAATGATAAAAAAGAAAGACCCTGAAAAGAGAGAGAGAGAGAGAGAGAGAGAGAGAGAGAGAGAGAGAGAGAGAGGGGTAAAATGGAAGAAAAGAGGCAAGGAGAAAGAAAAGAACAGAGAAGGAAGAAGAAAAAAAATATATAGATATGAAACGGAACAAAGAAGAAGGAAATTACTGGAAAGTAATTGAAACTCACCTGAAGCGAGCTGAATGTATAATGCTCCTCATGCCAAGGACACTTCCACCGAGCTTCTCTACGGCATATGATTTCACTGAATTTTGATGTGTTCCTCTTGAATTTTAAACTGGGGTCATCAGGAGAGAATGTGCACCGTTTCGGGGCCTTCCTCTCAACGGTTTCAGTTGCACACCGGCCCCCCCTCACTGATGTGAGGCCCCATTATAACGATATAAAAGTGTTGTAGATAAACTAGTTCAAATGTGTAACGGCGAAATTAAATTTACGAAAATTCCGAAAAACAAAGAAATAAAAGTAATGATAGACGTGAAGGAGAAAAACCAAAACGAAGATGAAAGAACAAAAAGAAAAGGAAACATTAAACAGAAACGGTAGGCACTCACAACAAAACACACACACATATATATATATATAAATATATATATAGCATATTTTCATTCACACATGTTTCATTGAATAAAATAGACATATTGTGTTTAATTATTTTTATACCGACCCTTTCCAGTTGTCTAATCAGCTTCTTGATGTTAAGATGAAATTCATTAAGGTATAGTTATATACTCATATTTATATGAGTTCTGTTGCTAATAAAATAGTACTCGATGTATAATAACACGGATATAAGTTATATTAATAATAAATATACATTTTTTCTTCACCAGTAAAACAACACCGAGTTCCATGCACATCGCAATCATATTGAATCAGCAGCAGACGAGTGCGCTGCGCATCAAACTCTGAGTTGTGTTATTGTTAAGAATATATATATATATATATATATATATATATATATATATATATATATATATATATATATATATACAGGTACGATGAGAACAAATAGGGTCAATTCCAACCTTCGTAACATTTAATTTAAAAAGAGGGCTCAAGACAGATTATCTCTATTTAACAGTTGCATATCATTTTACCAAATAATTCAATATGTTTAGATTATTTACTAGTTTCTTAAAGAAAGTATTTTTTTTATCAACTACAAAACTAAAAAAAAAAAAAAATTATATAGGAAATTCATAAAGCTTATAACTTCAGTATCTGTCTATATTTCTGAGATAGGGCGTTATGTACACTATTTACATTATTCGGACTATTGTCCTCATCTTTGTCGCCATATTTATTACAACGTTTCAGCCGTTGTACGCCTCGGCCTTCTTCAGTGAGCGAAATAAAGGGTTCAGTTCGACATTCCAACCACCTGAAGAAGGACGGAGCGTACACGGGGCGAAACGTTGAAATAAATATGGCGACAAAGATGGGAACTATAATCCGAATAATGTAAATAGTGAGTTTATTACTTGTTTAGCATTTTGTTAAATTACCTCTCCATCCCAGTTTTAGTTCCTAGGAAACTGCATTGTCTGGTTTGTATATTTTATGTAAACATATGTATGTGCTTTAGGTTATGTCTGGCTGCCGTTTGCTGCCAATCTACGGGTAATTTTTGGTTTTTGGCTTGGTTTAAATTTAACGTAGGTCATTTTTGATTGGTTGATCAGAGTAAAACCTAAAACCCTTATAATGTCCAACCTTTTTTCGTAAAAATAGGTATTTTGCTTTTAAATCTAAATAAATCGTTCTCTCGCCAGTAATTTACAATCGCCCGATGAGATCCATTGATACGCATTAAATCGCGACTGCAATTGTGTAGCGATTTTTATATGTTTTCGGTGTAATATCCTTATATATATATATATATATATATATATATATATATAACACGTAAAAAATATGAAATTGTTAAAAAAGAAAAGAAAAAGAAAATATTCAAAGAAAAGAAGACAGAACTCAGCGATAGATAGATAGATAGATAGATAGATAGATAGATAGATAGATAGATAGATGTTTCGACCAAGCGATTCCAATGTAAAGTTTGTTGCTTGGTTATTTCGTCTGAAATGGTTATACACACACGTACCCCGCCACTTATAATTATATCCTTAAATATAATACGCTATATATATATATAAGTTTTTTGTGTGTTACACTGAAGGGATGTGTGTAAAATTTTGACATGAGACGCACACACGTCAAAACCCCCATTCACATCAACACAAAAAGCTACCGCGCTGAAAACTACAAAGAGACCACCCCGAACAACGGCGGCACAGTTTACAGTAACAACTAAATTCTAACTATCTCTTGTATCCACCGTTATTAGTCAAAAGCTCGCACACACGTATTGACTCTTTCAAACAAACATAACCCACCCACTAAAATTCAAGTTATATTTGTTTTTTAAAAGAAAAAAAAAATTCGATATAACATTTCACTGTTTCTCATATACGTACATAAATTATATTTATTTATTTCTTCCTAATTGGTCCTAAAAAGGAAATAAAATGCGGTTAAATTCATTAAAAAAAATGTTCAAAACAAGTAATGTTCCCCGTAACTCATGTCTGTCTATCAACATTTTTATTTAAATAAAGTTCTTTTTTTATTTGCAAAAACAAATATAACTTGAAATTTGGCGGGTGAGATATCTCTGTTTTAGCACACTTTCCCTTAATTGTTACAAAGAAAAAAATGTACATGGATTAAACGAAAATTACAATATAACAATATAATATATATATATTACTTATAATACATTCCTTCTTTTGACGACACGGGTATTCTAGTGGTATATATATATATATATATATATATATATATATATATATATATATATATATATATATATATATATATATATCATTGGCAACCCTAGGTCATCAATGTTTGTCGGGCTCATTGCAATATAAATATACTCTTGGTATAATTTAGATGCTAAAATGATTTCTTTTACTCTAACTAACATATATAATTTTTTAAAATCACTGTGCATGCAATTAACAAAAAAAAAGTCTGATATTTAAAAAATTCTATAAAAATAAACAACTATTTAAAAAAATTACAGACATGGAAGAAAAAAGAGTGTGGACAAAGTCTTTGATATGTTTATTTATTGCCCCTTTCCCCTTTTTTTTGTTTTATAGCCTGCTTATCAAGTCACTGAGGGTAGAGATAGGAATAGTTGTTGTAGGGTCAGAAAGTAGAAATGTATATTTCACTCAGTGAGGCTAAGGGTGTGGATAGAAGTGTCTTCCTTTTTTTTAAAGTCTGGAACATTGTGTGTTGATCAGTGTGTTTGTGTATGTGTCTGTGGGTGCGTACATAAACATAATTAATGTTTTTATGTATCTCTCTGTCTGAATTTTTAGTACTGCTGACTTATATCATATTTCCTCAACACTGTCCCAGTCACCCTCAACCCCCTTCACCCCAGTCGATGAGTTAAGGCTGCCACTTTCTTTGATTTTCGCCGAATTTCGAATTTATGTTACGCTAAATTTAATTTACCCTTTTTTTTAATTGATACATTCAGTTAAAAACCTTATACAGTTCGGAAAAACTATTTAAAATAGATATTTGAAAACATTAGGTATAAAGAAAAATATGGCATACAAATCATTAGAGATTTCTAAGAGATTATTTCTAAAAGTTAAAAAAAGAAATATATTTCCTATTAAGTATGTCTTCAACTTCATAGTCCAACTAGCCACGTTAATTTTATATTTTTTACTTTCTTTTTTTTTCTTCTTTTTTTCATCTTCCTTATGAACAATATCAACGAAATGTATTTC